TTAGTAATCTTGGAGAGAACAAGCACTACGAGATAGCAAAGAAATGTGTGGAAGACCTGGCACTTTATTTAAAGCCACTGAGTGGAGGCAAGGGTGAGTACGTACTGATGAGAGTCTCAGCATGGGCAAGTGAAAGGAGGCAAACCAAGTGTTGGGTTTGCCCTGTTCAAATCAAGGCTTCAGAATTTAAATCATTGCTGGTACTGTATCTTATGGCCAAGTGGGTGGCTCGTGCCAGTCGCAAAAAATAACAGCAATGACAAACCAGACCACCTGCAACTGATATGGAGGTTATAACAATCTGGAAGACTCACAAACTATGAAGAAAAAAAGTATAAATATTCTTGTAAATTAACAAAAGTAAAATGGGGGGGAACTCAGTGAGTATGCTCCAGGGAGCAAGCACTGTTGAGAGCAGTTGAGTCAATTGAAGGAGGAAGCCAGAGGGAGATGAGGAAATTGGCCCAAGACCTTATCGAATCCTGGAGGGGGAGATTTGTGAGTGTGTGCGTACCTGGGGGGGGGGGAATCTTACAAATTGCCTATTCCTCCCCTTTTGTAACTACTTCAGGCTGTAAGCTTGTTCCTGTAACAGCCAGCTTCCTGGGTGAGTGCCAGGAGTAGGACCGTGAAGCAGGACACCTCAGAGACAAAAGAGAACTGTTTGCAACAATTCATAAAAATAAAAGGATATATGAATTGTTGTACACACATTTCTTCTCTACTTTTTTCTTCTTTACATTATACAGTAGCATAACACAATGTATGCAGTAATAAATATTATATTAAAAATATTGCTTAATGCATAAGAGATATATCATTAGGCTGCTCAAATCTGGGGATAAGCAAGTGGAAAGTTGTGTGGGGAATTTCTCAGTTGTCTGTCCCCGCCCCAATTCTTTTCAGGCCCTCATCTTATAAGAAATGATTTGCCAGCTGCCTCTTCCTGGTATGAATGCATTTCATATCCCCCAAGTAGGGAAAAAGCAAAGTCCTAGTGTTGAGTGCACATTCAAATGCCTTGTGGCTAACCTGTGTCTGTCCCCCTCCCCACTTCGAAGGTGTTGCCAGTTTGAACCAGAGTGCGCTGAGCCGTCCAATGCAAAGGAAGCTGGTGACATTGGTGAACTGCCAGCTGATAGAAGAGGAGGGTCGGGTGAGAGCCATGCGGGCAGCCCGCTCCCTTGGTGAGAGAACCGTGACGGAGCTGATCTTACAGCATCAGAACCCTCAGCAGCTGTCTGCCAATCTCTGGGCTGCTGTCAGAGCACGAGGGTGCCAGTTTCTAGGGCCAGGTAAGCCCTTGTATAAAGGAAAGTGAGATGGTTCTTTGTTCTTGCTGTTGTGTTTAGATGCTCTTGAGTAAGAGCAGAAGGCTGGAGAGCCTATAAATGAAGTCGAAAACATACAAAGGTGCATTTGTGTTGCCTGTATAAAACTGCTGGCTGGCAGGATATTTGTGGAACAACAAAGACAGACTGGGGAAGTCGCTATCAAGAGCAAAAAGTGATTATAATTAATTACTAACGCAAATAAAGTGTATATTATACAATAGCAAGAATTACAGAAATCCAAATATATTAACAAGTAGTCCAAAAATTATCCAAAGATTTTACAAAGAGTCCAGCTTCAACTTCGTTTTGAAAGTAGACCATCAGAAGTAATTTTCAACACCATACGATGTGTGATTATTTCTATTGTTCAAGTACAAAGACAATATTTCTTATGTTGTGATGTAGTTTTTAAACAGGGACTAGCCCTTTGCGTTCTACAAGATTTAACATTTCTTATTAATGGGCATAACTCCGTGACAAAAAGCTTGAGCACCAAAATGCCTCCAGCCATTGCTCTCTCTGCCTTGCTTCTCTCCATCTTTCTTTTTAGGCAGATGAGAAGCAGAGAGAGAAAGTGGCCACCCCCTCGCTGTGCTTCCTTGTCTCTATTTCCTATCGCCCCAAAACACCCAAATATAGTAATAGAAAGAAGGGGGTGAGGGGTATGGTGACTAAAGGGCCAAGTTGAGCCTCGTGGGCATGAGCAGACATTTTGTGATTGATTTTGTAGTAAATGCGCAAATACAAAATGCATTTTCCCTGATCCCTGGAGCTCCTACTTAATAAAATAAAAGAGCTAAGAAATTTCAAGAGAAGCCAAAAGCTTTTTGATAAGATGAGTAAAATTTCACAGGAGAGCTTCAGCCTGTCAGAAAAGGCAAAGTGGGAGATGGTCTCATTGTCTAGGGGCCAGAAGCCCCTGCAACATTTCTCCCATTACCTGGAGGGAGTGGAATGACTTCTTCATGCTCCTTTGAGATGTGTCAACACCAATGGCACTATAAGGAGCATGAGAAAGTGACACTTTGCTCCCTCCAGCCGAGCTGCAGTGTCTTTGGGGAAGCAGGGAAGGGTGTTGCAATGGGGGGATGGTGTGGACAGCTAATGCACAAAGGCCCAAGAGAGCCTCACGCTGCACCTTATGGGGGAGACTAATTTTCAACATCTCTGTGGTCTGGGTGTCTTTCCTGTGATCTAAAATATGGATGAGTCTGTGATTGCATCACTATTTGAGAAGTCTGGCTCCTTTTTTTCCTTGCGTATTGTGGTGGGTGGCCTCTGGTCATTTTTTAAAGCACTGGTTAGGTTTCTATCCCTCACTGTTTTCAAAGGCATAGTTAGAATCTGATTCAGCACAAGAGCCCCTGTGTCCTCGTAGCTTGGGGCTTGTTGTTCTTGCCCTTTTGAGACTATAACTTCAGCTGGTGGGCTTGTAGCTATGCAGGAGGAAGCCTTGAAACTGGTGCTGCTGGCCTTAGAAGATGGCTCTGCCCTCTCCCGGAAAGTGCTGGTGCTTTTTGTTGTCCAGAGGCTGGAGCCGCGATTCCCCCAGGCATCGAAAACTAGCATTGGCCACGTTGTGCAGCTGCTGTATCGAGCTTCGTGCTTCAAGGTAAAAGGTTGAATCAGTTGATTTTTTTGTTTGTTTGATTTGCTTTTGAAAAGCAAGTTTTTCTTCTCTGTTGGCAGCTCACAGTTAGCAGTGTTGCGTTTTTACAGAAACATTGGCTATGAAATTAGGGTCATTTAATAATTATAGCAAGCACCTGTGGAACTTGTTTTGCAAGTCTGCACATTTTGCTTCTGCTTTTCATTGTTGTTTTCCCCAAAGAAGAATGGTAGGGGGCAAGGGATCAAATTCTTTTAAGCTCCCCTTGCTTAGTTGGCAAGAACATGTTAAAAATTTATCTGAGTAGCAAAGATCAAACGGGGACTCTTTTTGAACCATAAAGACAATTTAAAATGTCAAGTGTGGATGCGATATTTGGTGTGCTTAAGCTATAGTTAGGGACAGATTTTAGGCATTTCTGGCTTGTTTGTGTAGGTCACCAAAAGGGATGAAGACTCTTCCCTGATGCAGCTGAAGGAGGAATTTCGCAGTTACGAAGCGTTGCGGCGGGAACATGATGCTCAGATTGTCCACATCGCCATGGAAGCGGGACTTCGAATATCACCAGAACAGTGGTCGTCCCTCCTTTATGGTGACTTGGCCCACAAATCCCACATGCAGTCCATCATTGACAAGGTGAGCCTTGGCTTTTAAATGGCTGTATTTTCTTGCCCCAGCATGACATGTCTGGTGATGAAGCTGCATAGGGCAGATTATGAGCTGAGAGGCCCAGCCTCTCATCGCTGATCCTCCGTTTATGCAACCTGAAGACACCTCCTGCACTCCTTTATAATACATTTCTTTCTAAAACCATCTTTTTTCATGCACATAAGCTTCATGTCAAGCAAATAACACCCTCATCTTAAAATACAGATTTTAGAGAATTTGGTCTTTCATGAGCAGCTGTAGACTTTTCTTCATGCAAATCACTAACTCATGTCTTGCCTTAGCTTCAGTCCCCAGAATCCTTTGCAAAAAGCGTTCAAGAGCTGACAATCGTTCTGCAACGTACTGGTGACCCTGCAAATTTAAACCGGCTTCGACCCCATTTGGAGCTATTGGCCAACATAGATCCTAATCCAGGTATGTGAATTACGTATACATACACACTCATGTTTCATGTATCTTATGAAAGGAAAAGGGTGTTCTTGGTTTCCGTCCTGTGAAATTCATCTCTCCCAGGCTTTGCTCCACTTGTGCCAAAATATACCATTGTTGCATGGAATGATGTACATGTTATTTCCCATCCATGAGTGCCTCCCAGGAAGAAATTTTGTAATGTGTGATGCATCATAAGAGTGGCGCACAAGTCAAGATAACTGCTGTATTTTCTTTCCTCACATGGGCTGAGCCTAACTTCCACTCACCTATACCATGCAGTCAACAAAGTCTGCTATTCAGATTCTGATTTTATTTTGCCTCTCCCCACATGCTTCAAGCAGGCTCTCTATTTTAAAAAAATGTTTAAAAGCAGCTTTTATGCTTACAAGTTAATGTGTTGCCTTTTAAAAAGTTTTAAATCCATGCTTTGATCACATTCAAGTTAGATTACTGTAATGTGCTCTATGTGGTCATGCCTTTGAAAATGATTTGGAAACCTCAGATGGTCTAAAATGTGGCAGCCAGGCTGCTATTGGGTTGGTTACAGACATCATATTACCCCTGTGCTGAAAGATCTGCACTGGTTACCCATCTGTTTCCAGGCACAATTCAAAGTGCTAGTTCTTACCTGTCAGGCCCTAAACAGCTTGGGGCAGGGTGTCTGAAGGATTGTCTCCTTACATACTATCTAGCTGTGAGTTAAGATCTGTTTCAAGCCCCACTGTCTGTGTCCCACCTTCAGAGGTGGAACAGAGCATTTTCCGTGGTGGTGCCTTGCCTTTGGACTGCACTCCCTCTTGAGGCTCACCTGGCATCTGCTTTATTTTTTTTAAATGCCAGGCCAAAGCACATCCTTTTACCTGAGCTTTTAATTAGGGTTTTTATCTTATTAGCTTTTTGATGGTTTGCTTCTGTTTTATGGATAGTTTTTATGCTGCTTATATCCAGTGGCTTGTTTTAATAGTAAGCAACCTCAAGCATCTCTGAAGAGGTAGCATAGAGATATCCTAAATAAATAAATATGCCCTAACAGTTATATGAGGAATGCTTGTTAATAGCCTTTTTCAGAACCACCAGGAAGTGCTGTGCTGCCTCTGCATTTGTTAATTATTGTATATATTAGCAATATTTCTATTCCGCTCTTCAAATGAATTGTTCAAAACATCTCCCAGCAGAATAGAAACATTCAGTAGAATTATTTTTAAAAAATCTATCAGGATAGCAAGGTGAATTCGAAACCTCAACCAATAAATCACTCTGCAGCAAACACACACATATAATCCCAACAAAAGATAAATCATAACCACAGACCTTCTGAATATTTTCATTATGCCTACACTGCACATCATCCCAAAAAATCCTGCACAATTGAATGCAACATTTGTTTTGAATATTGAAATCCATGGATTATTGATTCACTTTTCTTCCTCCCTTTTCCTGCTCTTCCAGATGCAGCATCTCCAACATGGGAACAGCTGGAAAATGCCATGGTGGCTGTGAAGACAGTAGTCCGCGGCCTAGTGGACTTCATTCAGAATTACAGTCGGAAAGGCCATGAAACACCACAGGTAATTATGTCAATGTTCAGCACAGTTTGTGCCAAACAGTCTGTGGAGTTTTCATCAAAGTCATCCTTGTGCTATATTGTTAGTAGATGATGTGGGAAACACTAGATCCTTAAAGGGGATGGCATGTGCATATGGCATACTATCACTTCCTCAGAGAAGCTGGGTGGGAAGGAAACAGTGGATTCCACTGAATAATGTACAGAACAGAACAGAAACCTTTATTGGCATTACACAGATAACCAGAACAAAGGCAAAATTTAAGGGATAGTATTAAAACAACGACAACCAATATTCCCATTATCTTAAGAATAATGTACAAATGAAAAAGAAGACTAGTGTCTGTTTTGTCAGTGCATGCTTGCTGCAGCTATCTCTCCCCTATATCCTTGAGGTTTGGGGGGAAATCCCTCCTCTTCCCTGGTGTCTAAGTCCAGAATCTGTGATAGTCGGAATACTGAATCGGGATTTAGTATTACATCTTTCGCAGGCCACTTTTGATATACTGTATGAATGAACAATACTGCGAGCACTTTATTATGAATTGTTTATTGTGAATTGTCTATTTTAAGATTGATTTAACTTGTTTATAGTTGTTTTATGTGGATCTGGCACATGGTGCCGAGGAATATGTGAGCTGCCCTGAGCCCGTTCGCGGGGAGGGTGGGAGAGAAATACAACAAATAAATAAATAAAATAGTTTGGAGAATAAGCTTGTTTTTTAAAGAATTAGATGCATCATGAAGGAGGATAGGTCTGTAATCGCTTATTAGCCAGAATAACTAAATGAAAACCTCCCAGGGCAAATGGCTGTGGATAAACGAGGATGGTGATCTCCTTCATGCCACAAGTGGGTGTCCAGCATAATCTGACTGGCTGCCATTAGAAAACTTAATGATGGGCCAGATGAACCTCAGTCTCATCCAATGGGGCAGTTCTGATGTTCTGTACCTCCTCTGGTTGCCCCTTGTGCTATTAACCCACAGATGCCAACCCCCAGCATATTTGGGAGTCAGAGGTAGGCAACAGCTCCTTCTAGGTGATTTCCCCCTTTTCATTTCATCCTCTTTACCTCATTTTTGGTTACTGCCGCTGCATCTACAGGTACAGCAAAAAAAAGTACTTGTTTAAGTCAGCGGAATCAGTAGCAACACAGGTAGATGTCTTCTAGGCTGCATGTAAGCGATATCTTTTTCTCTTCCTCCCTGTCTTGAAAGCCACAACCAAATAGCAAATACAAAACCAGCATGTGCCGGGATCTGCGACAACAAGGCGGCTGTCCACGTGGGACAAACTGCACATTTGCTCACTCTCAGGAAGAGCTGGAGAAGTAAGTAGCGGGAGGAAAGCTGCTCTTCTTTTTCACTTCCACAGATTCCTGACCCTCACAGGGTTCCCTTGACAAACCAGAGACCCTCCTTGACAACAGATGTGTTCTTAATTCTACCTATAAATTTTGCATTGAGCTGCTTGCATGTTATATGGCAGCTGGGGGAAGGAGACACTGCCTAGGTTGTGGTGACGGCAAACTTTTCTTTAGGGTGGCAGCTTTTTCAATGAGAGCTGAAGGCTGTTTGAAAGAGGGACCGGTGCTTGTGAGACATACGCTTGCCCCACTTCTTCCTCTGATCAACAGGTTTGGCAAGCTGTTTATTGTTTCCAAAACCCATTTGACCCAAGGTGGTAATGGAGGAAAAAATGTGGATGCTACTCAGGTGGGAAGTGAAGGCACTCTCATGTCACTTTCAGCTGTCTTTTTAAAAAGTGGTCTATTTCCAGCCTTCAAATAGTTGCTCCCCCAAAATCCAAGAACTCTAAGGCAGACTGGAGCAGGAGCTTTGCAGCCTTTTTCAAAGGAAGGAAATTGCCACCTTCTCTCCTAGCATCCAAATCTTCATGCAGTTTGACTGCTTCTTAGAAGCTGGAGGGAGCCAGGTCTCTTCCTCTTGCTTGCAAATGATTTCCCCCGATTCAGCAGCCCAGGGAGATCTTTTTCTTTTCTGAAACTGCAGGTATCGACTGAGGAACAAGAAGATGAGTGCCACAGTGAGGACCTTCCCACTGTTAAGCAAAGCCAACGTAACCAGCACTGTCGCCACCACAGCAGGAAGTGTTATTTCCATCATAGGAAGCGCAGAATCAACAGGGAAGATCGCCCCTAGCACCAATGGGATCACGAGCCTGGAGAGTGGCCTGCCACAGCTGATTCCACGTTGTTCCGACACCTCTTCCCTAAGGGCTTTGGAGAACGTGAAGAAAGCAGGGAAGGCTGGAACCAACTGTCAGAATGTCTCTGGATCTCCAACAGATCCCCTGCCTGAAAAGTACGTGTTAGTGTCAGAAAGACAAGTGCACAGGTGCTTATAGAGCAAATGGTTCCAGTTGACTCCAGAAGTCAGACAAGTTGCGTCCCACCAGGATGCAAAGCCCATTTTAGAAGAGCAATTCCCCGCCCCCCACCATGCACAAGGGGGTTGCCTTTTCTGAAATGGTGCTTCCTTTGATGCTTGCGTGCAGGATCTAAATCAAAGTTGTTCTTTTCCTTTAGAATTGTTGTCTTGATTCATGTACAGAATTAATGAATTGATACAGTTCATATAGTTAATTAAGATTTCTCTAATTGTGTGACAATTCTAACTTGATGTCTGATTTTCTTTTTTCTTTTTAGTAAAATTGGTTCGCCTCCAAAGACTCCTGTCAGTCAGGCAGCAGCTGCCTCAGCAGGCCCTCCTCCGCCTCCTCCTCCACTTCCTGTTGGCACAGAGATGGGCTCCATGCCTCCCAAGTCCAGCCCCTTCGCACCAAGAGTGCCTGTCTACCCTCCACACTCTGACAACCTGCAGTATTTTCAAGATCCCCGGGCCCACCTGTCCTACGAAACCCCACAGTACCCACAAGCAGGTGAGAAGCAGATGCAGAGGGAGGCAGGGGATGCCTAGAAATGAGCACATGTATGATTTAAGCAGTAATTAGTATTCTGGTGAGTGCTGGGTGACTGGGATTGCTGCTGTATACTTTTAATTCTGCTGCTTTTAGTGTTTTAGTCTGCTTTTACTACTACTGACCTGTTTGTTGAATTTGAATTTGAACAGGGAACGCTTGTTTGTCTAAGTTTATGTGCTGTCTTTCCAGAGACCCTGCTTGAGGTGACTCACAGCATAAAACATAATCAAATCATAGAAAACAAGACAAAGTATTAAAAATAGCAAACCATAAAAGCAGCAGAAACCATTTAGCAGCCTCTAAAATAATTAACATAAGTGGTCCTTGGACTAGAAAACAGTTTTAAAATCTCTTAATTAACAACTTAGGTAACATTTTTATTTCTTTATTTAAAATATTTATATTCTTCCTTATTTCCTTAGACTCAAAATAGCTAACGATGCAACAACAAGTTGCAAGGACATAAAATGTACACGTCTGTACACAGATAAAACATACCATGATTTAAGAAGGCGCAGAGATTTTAAAACACAGAATTAAATCTGCTGAAACAGTTTATTGTTCTCCAAATATCCTCTGAAACTGTCTTGTGTGCCTTCCTAAATTATAGTCAGTGAGGGCATCCTCTTTAGTACCCACTTCGGTATTCCTTCCAGAGGAGTGGACCTATCCCACATAAATCCCATGTCCTAGCTGTTGCTGTACAAACAGTCCTAAGAGCAGGTACTACAAGGAGGAAGCTGTACCTGGCACACCATAAGGAGGAATGTAACTGGCACATGGGAGTGTACCAAGAGATGAGTATGAAGGCCCTAGGTGGTGAAGAGCTTTAAAGGTAATGTCCTGCACTTTGAATTGGGCCCAGAAGCAAATGGCAGACCAGTGCTGTTGATACAGCACTGGAGTGATATGTACCAAGTAGAAATGTCAAATTTCCAGAAATTTTGAAGCTTGGAAAAAACCCCAGTTTTCCCCCGGTTTTTTTTTGGGGGGGAACGGAAATTTTCATAAATATTGGAAAAAATGCTACATTAGCATTTTTTTTCTTTTCCAGATTGAAAGTCATTCTGTTACTTTAGGAACATAAAATATGACTATGGACATTTTTACTTGGCATGAAATTATCACAACGAGCATATTAAAAATATAGTATATCCAAACAATTATTACAAACAGAATACCCACCCACATGCAAAAACAAAACTGAAACCTTTTTCTTTTCTTGTGACAATAGCACCTCCTAAAGGAAGAAATGCATCTTGTTCTTGCATTGGAGAGGTTCTAACCTAGGACTTGCTTGTCCTCAGTGCACAGAAATTAGATCAATCTGATACCATACATATTTTTTAGAAATTATTTGGAAAATATTTGAACATCTTGTCTTAAAATATTTTATTAATCATGTTAAAATAAAATGTTCCCTAAACATTTTTTTTCCTTTTCTCCATTTTCCCAGTTTTTTGGGGGGGAAACACAAAAGGCTTTAGGGGAAAAATGGGTTTTTTCCTAATTTTTCGGGGGGGGGGGGGTTGGGCCTTCATATCTCTAGTACAAAGTGGCTGACCCCTGACAGCTACTGCATTTTGTCCCAGTTGAAGCATCCAAGCAACAAAGGTGTGACTAAAAGAAGATACTCTTAGTAACAGCACTGACCTGTTTATCCATTGACAAGGCTGGGTCCAAGAGCACCCCCAAGCTCTTAACTTGTTCTACTGAAGAAAACGTATCCCTATCTAGGTCAATATTAGCCAAAAACACACTCTGCCTTCCCAACCAGTATCACCTACATCTTGTCTGGATTAAGCATCCATTTGTTTACCACTTATGAGAATTATTTTAGAGGCTGCTACATAGTTTCTGCTCAGCGGTTTATTCATTTGTCAGCCACTTCACCACATCCTCAAGACACTGGTCCAGGATATTCACAGCTGCTTCTAGAGGCTTGGACAGTGATATAACCCCACAAAAGGGGAAATTTCGTCACAGGTTGATAAATGCCCGTATCTCCCTTATCCAAAGGATTTTTTAAAAAAGAGGTCTAATGATAGCTTCTTTCAGCTCAAAAAGAACTGTTTTGTACAGTTGTACTCATCTGCATGCATATTTCGTTCTGTCTCTCCTGCATAGTTCAATCTGTGTAGGAAATGTGTATGTACTGTGGGCGGTGTGACAGCTGGTTATTTCTTGATAATAGGCAGGAGTTGTACATTAAGAGTATATCACTTACTTTAGGTTATGTTTTGAAAAAATAATTAAAAGAAAATGCTGGTTGCTCATTTAGATGTATGTCAAGAGGGGAAAGATTCTCATTAGTCCTGTGTTCTAAGCAACTGCCTGGATTTTATGAAGGCTGCCAAGTAAACTGTGTTGAAACTAGGGGCAGCAAAAGGAGCTATCTTGTGCCCAGTCAGTGCACATAACAGAACAAGCAGGCGAATTGGACAGTACTATTTCAGACTGCTGGTGGGGGGTTGTATGTAATTTTTGAATGATTTACTGTAAAAAACAACAACCCTGCAAGTAGAAAATAAGCACAACAAGGGAGCAAGATCAGTCTTAATACCTACTGTGCTAGTTCTTTACTTGCAGGGAGAATTTTTCACAATTGAAGTGTGATTCCCCACCATCACCACCTCCATGCACACAACTGCATCCTGAAGAGGTATAGTCCATTCTGTCACCTCATACTGCTACATATATAGACAGACATGTGTGAAATCCTGGATGATTTTGAGAGAACAGTAAATATTTCCTGTTTTCTTAGGTTACTACCCACCACCGCCAACGGTCCAGGCTGGTGTAGGTCCCTGCCTCCCTCGCTTTGTTCGGTCCAGCAATGTTCCAGAGCCCCCACTTCCACCTGCTTCCATGCCCTACAGTGACCATTACAGCACTTTCCCCCCTCGAGACAGGTTGAGTTCTCCTTACCAGCCTCCTCCACCACAGCCATATGGGCCAGTCCCTCCTGTTCCATCTGGAATGTATGCCCCCGTCTATGACAGCCGGCGGATCTGGCGGCCACAGATGTACCCACGGGATGACATCATCAGAAGTAATTCCTTACCTCCCATGGATGTTGTGCACCCCTCAGTCTATCAGACCTTTTTGCGAGAAAGATACAACTCTTTGGACAGCTACTATTCCATGGCCTGCCAGCTGTCAGCTGAGCAAAGGACAGTGCCTTTGTCAAGGGTAGGTGCTATGCTTTTCTTTGAGACTTTGGTGCTTCCATGCTGAGCCTTATGACAAATTCTCACCTATTATTGGGTGTATATCCTCAAGGGCAGAGGGGAAGGAAAGGCAAGTCAATTATATTGCCAACTCATAGGGAACAGCAAGAGGGTGGACTGTGGCTCAGTGGCAGACTGCCTGTTTTGCATGCAGAAGATCCTAGGGTCAGTCCCTGGAATCTAGAAGAGCAGCTGTTGGACAATAACTTTCTCTGCCTGAAACACTGGAGAGCCACTGCCAGTTAGAACTAGGTGGAATGATTTAATATAAAGCACCTTCATGTGTTCAACACCAGAATTTTCAATTTGCTTGAAGTAGAAAGCAAAGTTGATCCCGAATCTTTCACAGGGGTCATGGAGCTGGAAGTTTCCTTGGTGGTGAGACTGGCCTCTGCGGTTCCCTCCTTTGTCTCACAGGCTCACAGATTCCTCTGGGTTAAAGATTCTGCTGTAGAAGACCTATTGACTGTCACTATCTGCTGTTCTTTCCCAGCTTGGACCCCCTGTGGTTTTGAGTCCTGACACACCTCCAGGCAAAGGACTTTCAAGTCATGGCCATGTGTTCCAGGCAGACCTAACCACCAGCACCTCTTTCTGTTTAGAAATTGGGCACTGACGGCTCTTGTGTGTAAACAGCTTAAGCTCTTGATGGGCATGCATTTCTTCAAGGAGCTGACTGGCCACTCTTTTTGGGGAAGCACTTGAAAAAAGCACAGCTCCTTATCCATCATTAGGGAGGGTGTATCTGTACTTAGGTTTGCTATGATGTGAAGACTGATATGACGAAAAGTTAGGGCTTTGCAGGTGGAGGGAAGTGATCCTTCTGTTTTCTTCATTCACCTGCTGAATGAAGCTCAATGCTTGCATCTGATGTGAGCCACTCCTTGTTTTTTTCTCTGATTGGCACCTTCTTTTTAGGAACCTTGTGGCCACTTGAAGCCCACTTATGATGACCCACTAAGGAGGAAGCCAGAGCAGTGGGCCCAGTACCATGCACAGAAGACTCCCCTGGTGTCCTCTGCCCTTCCCACGGCTACGCAGTCTCCAACACCACCTTCTCCTCTATTCAGCGTAGACTATAGCACGGAAGTAAGGCACTGAAGCATCAGGGTGGGAGGTGGCACCCTTGTTGTATCCTCTAACCTCACCTGTGTGGAGTATTACATTCCCACACACACACACACACACTGAAACACATTGTTAGTGCAACTGCATTTTGTCACTTTCATCCCTTATTACTCTTGTGTCTCCCCTTTCTTTGTGAACTCCTTGGAACAGGTGTCTCACTTGCTGTAAAATGCCACATAATATATAAATAATCCAAAAGAGACATAGCTCACAAGCCAGTGGTGAGACTGGGTAGTATCTCACATTATAATAAGGAATGGATCTTTTCTTTGTCTTCTGTTTCCTGCAGTTCTGTGAAAACTCGAGTGACTTAAGCAACACCAAGTACGAGGATGACCGCCTCTCCCACTACTCGCCCTGGTCCTGTGGCACAATCAGCTCTTGCATAAGTGCCATCGAATCGGAGCCTAAGGATGTCATTGCCAACTCCAATGCGGTGCTCATGGTACAACAACTTTGTTCTCAATCCTGTTGTGTTTGATAGCCAGCCGCTGATACGATATGGAGAGCTTTCTTGGAATCACTTTATTTCAACCTAGAAGAGCCCATGGCTGTATAAGTAGAGCATGTGCTTTGCATGTAGAAGGGTCCTTGCTCAGTCTTTGGCATCTTGTGTAGTGGTTCCTGGAAAGATCTTTATTTTTTTCTTCCTGATACAATCAGGGCCTGCTACCAGTCAGAGAGGCAGCTTCCTATGTTAACCTACATTTGTGCCTGGTGATTCCTGTGCAGTCCTTAGCATCTCCAGATAAAGGATCTGAAAAGGATAGAAAAGATGATTCTCTGCCTGAGACCCTTGAGACTTGCTGCCAGTCAAAGTTGACGAGAATAATCTAGATGAACCAGCATAAGGAAGCTTCATAGGTTCATTATATGATTGACAGTGGTCCCTGCCTTCTCCCATCTGCAGTCTGAATTACACTAGCAGCCTAAACAGCCTAGATTAGCCCAGTCTCATCAGAGCTTAGAAACTAAGCAGGATCAGTGCTTCAATGAGAGACCACCAAGGAAGACTGGGGGTGCTACGTGGAGGAAGGCAAATGGAAAATCACCTCTTCTCATCTCTTGCCTTGGAAACCGCACGAGGTGGAACTTCTTGGAGTCACCATGAGTCGGTTGTTGCGACTCAATAGCCCACTTTACCTTTACCTTATTGTAAGGATTATTAAGAACTGATCCGCCAGTTATGAAGTCCATGTGGCCAATGAACACATGGGCTTTTCCCACACAGATGTTCTTCTCTCCTTTTGCTTCAAATCTGTGGTGTGGTTTTTGATAGCATTCACATGACAGAATCCTGTAATCATCCAGGCTTTCTTCATCCTGCTGTTTTCTGAAAGAACCCAGTCCAAGTGTATTAGCATGCAGTCTGGATTGGAAAGTGCACATTTTCTAAAGTCCCACCTGCATCAGTGCCGTTTTCTTTTTGTCAGCTCTTGCTGTCTGGTAGCAGCCATGTTCTGGGAGTTGTCCATTTAGGGAACTGGTGTGGTGCTTAAGCTTTCCTCCCTTGCCATTTTCCAGACCTAAAACACCTTGGGGAATCTCTGTTTGCTTCACTGGGAAAAACTTACCCCAGGGCCATTTTCAGATTAGGACAACTTCTGCACTCCCTCCCCATGTGCCACAGTCATCTGAACTGGGCCTGTGTGTGCAGCAGAACTGAGTTCCCAGAAGGGGAGCTCCCAGGACCATCTGACTGAAAGTCCTCACAGTGGCCACGAGGGCTTTGTAATGTACAAATCCAAACTGAGATAATGCAGGTGAAATGGTTTGAATGCAATGATACACAATAGTAAATGATAAATTTTGTGATAATTTACACTTCGGTCCCAGAGGTGCAAAATATGGCATCAGGATTGGCATTGAATGCTGCATTCAGTCTGCAGGCCATAACTTTTTCTTTTAACTTTTTCTTTTCTGATTGGGCTGCACAGGATCTGGACAGCAGTGACATGAAGAGACGGGTACATCTCTTTGAAACCCAACGAAGGGCCAAGGAAGAAGACCCCATAATTCCATTTAGCGATGGGCCTATCATCTCCAAATGGGGTGCGATCTCCCGGTCATCCCGCACAGGTTACCATACAACAGACCCAATTCAGGCCACTGCTTCCCAAGGAAGTACTACAAAGCCAATCAGCATGTCAGGTACAAGCAATGTTTGCTTATAGCCTTGGGTGGGTATAGAGGGGGATCGCCACCATGACTGGAAAAACAGCAGCAGAGGCCAGAGGTGAAAATGTATTTGTTATTTTATCTCTCACAGATTATATCCCTTATGTCAGCACTGTTGATTCAAGATGGAGCTCCTACAGTTCTGATTCTACTTCATCAGTACCCTTTATAGAACGGTAAGCAATGAGGATCCCAGCTGCCAGGCAAGCCTTAGAAAGGCAGGGCTGCCTGTCTCAGGGCAGGACCCACAAGCCACATATCCCACCCTGACTCTATGTCCAGTCATACTGCAGAGATGAAGAATACCAGGCTGTATGTAGATGCTGCAATTGGCACAGACGCCGCAGCTCCTCAGCCAGCTTTTGCATGTGAATGTGTTGTTTTAGTAAGTGTGTTCTCCCATAGCAATGGCAGGCTAAAGCTAAAATCACAAGGGCCATGCAGAGCAGAGGAAAATTGCAGTGCAGTTGTAAGTCAGCCTTTGGTTCAGAAACCAGGCACAAGCATGCTTATAACTGGCTCACGTTAATAATGCTTACTTAGCGTTAGTATACTGCTTTCAGGTGTTCAGAGCACTTCATATACATTTTCTTGTCATCCTTATAACATCCGTGTAAGGGAGGCTAAAACTATTATCTCCTGTATTGCATTTGGGAGTCTAGGGATGGAAAAAGAGCTAGTTGCCTAAGGTCAGCAAAGGCGGGATTCAAATGGAGGACTTTTGGATGTGGAACACATCCTTTTAGCAACTACACTTAATAAACCATACGTGCCACTCTTCTGATTAGGGAGAATGTTCATATTGATGTTCTACTCTGCCAGCTTTGAGATTAACCAATAGGAGTGGCCTACTTAATCTGGAGGGGGATGGGGAGGAAGAACAGGGACATACTTGTTAGTCTCTGTGCTGGACTTTGGTTTATGTATCATGTGAACTGTAACCCTTTAACCTTTCCTCTTCCAAGGGACCGGTTCATAGTAACTGATATATCTGCCCCAAGAAAGCATTCCAGCACTGGAGATCTACTGAGCATCGAACTACAGCAGGTAGCCTGTTCCTGCAACTTCATATTCAACATTGTCATTTGATCTTGGATTTTTGTTAGGCAGTTGAGCGTTGCAGGGAGAAGATACAGAAGTTTTGGTTCTCATGCACAGCCTTTTGCTGTACCCTGCATGCACACCAAGGTCACTTTTCAGAGCTACAGCTTGTTTGACTTTCCAGCTCAGTTTGCTACTCTCTTTGTTCTTCCCTGCAGGCCAAAAGCAACTCATTGCTACTTCAGAGAGAGGCAAATGCTCTGGCCACACAGCAGAAATGGAGCTCTTTAGATGAAGGCAGCCACCTCACCTTGAACCTTTTAAGCAAGGAGATTGATCTGAGGAATGGAGAGGTAAAGAGGCTGAGAGCTGGTGGACTGTTGATTTCTTTTGTGAGTGTGGGATAGTTTGGGACTTGCTGCCTTGCCACAGTTTAACATGTGAGGCTGCCTTCTCCTGAATCTGACAATTGGTCTATCAAAGTCAGTATTGTCTGCTCTCCTGGGTCTTGGGCAGAGCTCTTTCATATCATCTACTGCCTGATCCTTTTAACTGGAGATTAAAGGTGTGCATTCGGCATAAACCAAGCTAAAAAATAATACCTTACCGGGATTGGGCTGGCTTTTTTGTTTGTTTGTTTGTTAATGAGTATTTTTCTTCTTCTATTGGACCCAAAAAAATTCAGGATTTCTTAAAAATCCCAGATCCAATTGCCAATCCAGTATTGGGATCCAGGATTTTTCAGAAATTCTGAGGTTTTTTTCAGGTCCAAAGACCTGAACTGAAAAATACCTATTTTGTTTTGCGTACCCCTACTGGAGATTGAACCTGGGACCTTCTGGATACCAAGTAGATCAATCTGTTGCATTTTTTTCTGCCGTTTTGCCAAGGAATTCTGGGTTGAATGGATGACTCTCCCCACCCCTCCATTTTATCCTTCTAGGTAGGTACCACTAAAAAAATAGGGGCCGGGGTCATCCCAGAGGTGTTATGGATAACAGGCAGTTTGAACCTGGCTCTCCCAAGTCCTAGTTCAACACTGGCATCATGCTGGCTCATCCATCTCCACGCCGGGTTCCTATCCTGACTGCCACCCATGTGCAATCTCTGCCTGTTTAAAAATCTTATGCATTTTTTCCCCCACCTCCAGACTGACTACTCAGAAGACAGTGCAGACACAAAGCCGGACCGAGACATAGAATTAGAACTTTCAGCCCTGGATGCTGATGAGCCTGATGGGCAAGTGGAACAAATGGAAGTATGGAAGCTTTTCATTTTGCTGAACTTTGCATGGAGTGTTTTCTTTCTGTCATGTCTCATGAATTCAGAGCAGGTGGCTGTGGTGTTAAAACGGAGAATCAGAATGACCTGATGACAGCCTGATCCCAGTTGCCGAATAAGTTTTTTCTGATACTTTCAAAAGTTACTGGCGCTTTAGCTGTCCAAGCAGAGGAAATCCTGTATTTCTTAGAACAACCACAGAGAATGCCACTTATCTCCATAATAATGACATTTTGCAAGTCTCTGGTGCTTTCAGTGTTCAAAACGCTTCATGTAAATTATCATAATAATTGTTACAAACAACCTTGTAAGGTAGGCTGGTATTTTATCCCCAAATTAGGGGTTGGGGGGTGGAGGCTAAGTGAGAGTGGTCTCCCTACTTCCCATCTAGTGACTTTAGGGCAGAAGTGAAGTTTGAACCCGTGACCTTCCGTATCACAGCTCGCTTTCCTGGCCACAATGTGAATGCCAGCTCTCAGTGTGCTTCTGATCCCTCTCAGGTCTGCAGAGCATGTCTGGCTAACTCACCAAGCCCAGTCCTTCCACCTCTCCACGGCACCCTTCTTAGCAGTTTTCAGTAACTGCTAGCTTTTTATTTTAAGAGGAAGGATACCTGCGTCTGAAGGTAAAGGGCATAGGCTGACAAGGACAAAATTAAGGCTGTCCTTTTATGTTCCATCTTCATCCTTCAGGAGATTTTGAGCCTACAGCTTGGTATCAGCGATCAAGATGATCATCTATTCAATGGGTCAGCTCTGGAGAATGGCCACCCGTTGGAGCAGTCCCAGAAGGAGCCCAGGCAGCAGAAGAGGCCCAGCTTAGGTGAAGACCTTACTATTCTGTGAGTGTTAGACAAAACCAACAGTGTCTGATCTCTTTAAAGCTCTGTCTATCTCTCTACCCTGAGCTCAAAAAGTGTCAGTGATCAGAAGTCTCTGCCCTCTCCCCTGAACAATGCTCCCTATAAGCTGTGGAGTCTTGTGAGCAAAAAAATCTACCTTGTGAGCTGCTGGCATTGAAGCTGTGAGTGAGCGATTTGGTTGCTGCATAAATTAGTTTGCTTTGGAGCCCTCCTTCCTGAGCCAAGACAAAAATGTGTGAGCCGGAGGCTAAAAAACTGTGAGCTAGCTCTCACACTAACTCAACTTAGAGGGAACACTGCCCCTGAAGTGTTCAAAGCAATTTCTTTACTGCATACTGGACTTCTCCCTAAAAAATAGGGATCAAGAAGACACAGGGGAAGTTGGGGGGAAATGCAGGTCAAAATGCGGCTGTGCAACAAATATGGGGAAATTGAGCAGTATAACCGAGGGAAACGGGAGACCGAGGGCGCAACTACTGCTTTTGCAGAATCGGTCAACATGTGGTTATCTTCCACTAGATCTCAGGAAAGGATTATTTGAAGTACAGGGGGTGGACAAACAAAGAGCATAAAATCCCTTGGCATGGATGGAGAGTGGCCCAACTTTGCTGATTTCATTTGGGGATAACTTGCAGGAGGGAGTTCTCACATGCAGAGCAGACAAAGGGCTGGCTGCCTGGACAAAGCTTCCAAAGTACTGGGAAGCTTTTAGCAACCTTTAAAGAGCCTGCCTTAGAACAAGATCAGCTAGAGCATGTATAGGGCTGAGCAGAGGTCATTTCGGGGGGGAACGCGGGGGAACACAGTTCCCCCGGGTGAGGTACGGGGGGGCGGGGCACATGACAAAGCCCCGCCCCCTGCTTCCGGCCACCCCGCTTCCGGCCCTCATTCAGCCAGGAGGAGGCAGGAGAAGAGGGAGGGTAAGTTGCTTCCTCCCTGCCTCTCCCCACCCCTGCCTGCTTGGGGCCAGGGAGGGCCTTCGCGGGGCTTCCTTGCACTCCTGCCGGCCTTGCAGGTCCACCGCTGGGCCCCTCATGGGGCTCGGCAGTGGAGCTGCAAGGCCGGCGGCGGCGGCCGGAACCGTTGGGGGCGGGGGGTGTGGCCTTATGACACACGTCCAGTGATGTCAGGGGGTGTGGCCTTATGACACACTTCCGGTGATGTCAGGGGGTGTGGCATATGCTAATGAGTTATGCTAATAAGTTCCCCTAGCTCTTTTTCTATGAAACGACCCCTGGGGCTGAGGTGCAGAGGATCACAGTGTACATGTTTCCTTGGTATTTCTTGCATAGAGGATTGATCTGCAGAGAGTATGTGTGTGGACGTTTTATTTTTACCAAATCGTTCACTATTTAAATGCTGGTAGTTGTTCTCCATACTTAGACTTCCATTGTTAAAGATATTAAAACAGGCACCAGGGGAAGGGAAGTATCCGTTGCCAAATCGCTATTTCCCTGGGTGTGCTCAAGTACAATAAGCTGTCCTCATGGTAACCAGACCTTGAATAGCAGGAAACACGGGCAGTAGGTAGAGCTTTAGAAAGGCAATGTGAACAGGAAGCTGGGAGTACTGGCCCTCTTGGCACGTAAATTACTAATTGGCAGGAGCATACCAAAGGAGAAGTGAAAGAGAAACCACACCAGGGCTCAGGTGATCTGGGAGAAATGCTTGTCACCAGGCAGAGACTCAGGATGGTCACTGAGTTTCTAGATACCACATGGAGTGGCACTTTTGGGTCAGCAGATCTGTTCCACCACACTTGTCAATGTAATGGTTTTTGTCTCTTTTCTCTTCATCCATCTTCCCAACCAGGGAGAAGCAAAAAACAATCCTGCCCGTGACTTCCTGCTTCAGCCAACCAATGGCCTCCTCCATGGGCTCCCTGCCAGTTACAACCTCTGCTGGCGTGGGCAGCCTCATTCTCAAAACGGCTCACATTATGGTGGATGGGAAAAATGACTTTTTAAGGCCGGTTGCAAATGGCAAGTTGGTGAACAGCTGAGAGGTGATCTGCTTTCGAGCTTATGACCATGCTATGGAAGCATCTACCCTTGCTTTTTATATATATAATATATATTATATAATGTATATTTTTTTAAAGAAAATACTATTGGGGTCATCTGTTTCCTGTGGACTCTTTGATACATCAAGGCCCTTTCAAAATAGGATTCTGGAAAAGGAAAAAGAAATCACCAATTTTACTAGGATCAGGTGTTCACTTTCCATGAGTGGTAGAATTTGGACATTGTTTGACTTAAGCTTAAAGCAGCTTTTTAATGAGTTTATAGAAGTCCAGGGTACCAACTGAGCCATTATTGTTTTAAAATGGCTTCCCTAGGGAAATTAATGAGTCACTTATTTAAGCCAGCACGATCCTCAGGTGATGCACCTTGAGGAAGTAGAACTAACTTATTTTGCCTCATTCTTGTTTCGCAGGAGAGGAATTTTGCATCTGGCTGCAGCTGCTTGTTTCTCCAGCTGTGGAACCTTTGCATGAAACAGTGTGTGAGAGAAAGGGAGAGGGTGGGGTTCTTCTTACCATAAGAATTTTAATTCAGGGTTGAAACAGTTCTTTGTTTTTGTGTGTCCCCCCCCCATTTTGCACTTCTACATTATATGCAGCAGTGCTTCACTTTGCATCTTCATTTCCCCCCAACCTCCCCCATCCCACCCATCCTTTTCTGCTTGAGGACTTGGTATTTCCATATATCAAGCAACTTGCCTGTGTACAAATTTTAGAATGCAAAACCAAGTGCCTGAGTCTTTCTGCTTACGTGCTCGGTCTTTGACTGCTCCAAGTTGTAAGCTGAATTGCTATGTTCTGTTTTGATAACATGGTGTGCTCATTCTGTGGATGTTGTTCTGAGGAGGGAGGTCCCTTGGCACAGTCCCCAGGTGACTTGGCATCCAGAGCCTCAAGGATTCCTGGCAAAACCTTGTATATGTTGTGTTTGCACTGACTTAACAACACAGTATTGCTGTTGCTATACTTGATTAGCGGTTCTTTAGATGCGCCTGATGTTGTTGGTTATAGTATTGCTGAGAACCCTTGGTAATTGGGTTCCTTACTGATTATTCTGACAAGGCCTTGAACTTATTAATAATATAGCTTTAGCTGAGCTTGTACAGAAAAATGAATAAATGTGTCCTCTGAAGATGTGACTGGGAAGGAAGAAAAAATACCAGTTGGTAGAAACAATCAACTGAAATAATACATCACCACCCTCAACGTTAGCATTTGAGCCATTTCCCCACCACCACCTTGTTTAACAAATGTGGCTACTCTGAAGCTTAGAAGGGCAAGAGGACTCTGGCAAAATAACTTCTCTTAGTTTGCCCTCCGCAATTCCTTTTACAAGTTATCTTTTACGAGTTTTACAGTTCTCTCTCTTTTTTTTCTAAATGTTTAATTAACTTCTGTGAAGTTGTTTACTCTGAAAAATGTACTGGAATATTTTAGCCAAGCGGAATTTCTGCCAGGTGTACTGTACACGAGGGCTATTCCTGCTAGCAAATGGCTTTAAAGGAATATAAAAGACTATCATGTTACTGGCAAAACAGAGCTGTTAATATTCTTATGGCAGCTCTGGATGTGGGATAAAGCTTTTCAATAACCATTATGTGCATACTTCTTCTGGGACCGGGGTGGGTGGGTTGGGACTGGCATTTCCCTGAGGGTTGCAGATGTAACTTGGTTCAATTTTTTAAAATCTCTCTCATGACTAAGGGTCATTAAAAATTATGTTGTAAATACAAACTGAAAATTCAAGGACTGTTTTTTTTAATATATATATATTCCAGTAATGTTGTGGAGGCTCTTGCCTATTTATTTAATACAAAAGCTCTTTGTAAGTGACAGCCAAATATCGCCTCTTAAATTCCTTTGAATTCTCTAGCATCTCCTCCACCTTGTTGCCCCACCTCACTTCTGCAGTGACACAAACAAGGCAACTAGAAATTGCTCAGATCTTTTTTTCTTAAAGTATCTTTTCACCTTACCTTGTGACTGTTAAGAGATTTTGATGTGGAATGTCACATGTTCATCTGCCACAGCTGTGCTCTCAATCTAGCTGGGCCATTCTGTATATATGAATTTATATATCACGTTTGAAATGCTTCCAGAACAATTTCATTTGCGCTCTATGTACCTTCAGTATATATATATATATGTATATGCAAACTGATATATCTCTTACATGGATATTTAAACAGTGAGTCTTTCCATGTTGAAGGTTGATGGTAATTAAAAAAAAATGCTATTTTGTTACAAAAACAGAGAAATATAAAAAAGTTCAAGAGATCCTTCTATTTTGCCCTCAGGGAAATTGTCCTCTGTGAACCAGAATGCCACCTCACATCTTCAGCCCAATCTGAGGGTGGATATTACAATTCCTAAATAGCTCTTGCGTATTTTAACTTCTTAGTTTTAAATATATGTAATTTTTTTTTAAGACTGTTGTTGTGCTCTGCGGGATGAAGGGATTTCGAGGCAATTGTTTACAAATCTTTGTCTGTTTCTCCAGTGAGATTGCA